ATAACTATTATATTGATTACTAAAAAAATAAAGACCCACTAATCTTCCTTCTTTCCTTTGATCTCCTCCTGCCTGCATTTCCCTCTGTTTTTACTAGTATTTATCCCAAAGCTATTCTTCATCTTTAAGTTGCAGCACCCTCTACTGAGTTGGTAGCAACATTACATTGTGGCTATTCTTCCAATAGTGGATCCTTTTCCTTGAAAGGAAAAATAACACTTCGAAAATGTACTAAAAAGATGGACTTTCTGCAAATTGAATTGCTTGCAGACTATTTCAAACTTATTAAAAAGATACAAGTACAGTCACGTTACTACAAAGAAACAAGTGATCATGAGTTTGAAGGTATTATGAAGACACAAGCAAACAATGTAAAAGACATTTAATTTTTGAGTATATATAGCAATAAGGTATGAATGAAATAAAAAAAGCATAAAGTCCCATTTTAAATATGAGTTATGAACACTTTAAAATGAAAAATGTGCATTTGAAATTTCTCTCTGCACAGTAAAACTGTTAAAATGAATGTTAGAGGAGCAAATTTTTATTGTTCTGTAGATTCTTAGTTTTATTGTTATTTACATGGCCCAAATTTCTTCCAGTTACAGTATCCTGGAGGTATAGTTATTTTGTCTCCTCTGACTAAATTGTATGCTCCGTTGAGTACAGACACCCCTCTATATTTCTGTATCTAAAAATATTTAAAAACATGAATTCACACCAATACCACTAATTCAAATCCAACACTATAGGGTTCATTCTAGCTTTCCTCTTGGCATATTTGTAACTCACTTCCCTGACAAGAAGCCTAGCTCTCATTATCCTCAGTATATTTATTTATTTGCTCTATCCTCTTGTATGTAACTAGTCTCCCAACCATTAGACTGCCGCCCTGCTCAGCTTCCTTTTTTCCTTAAGCTTTGATCCATGCTGGGCAGCTTTCCTCAAGCCTGCCTAATAGCTTTTAACTGGTGATTCCAGGAGGAAGAGAGGGAGGGAGGGAGGGAAGTAGGGAGGGAGATGGAGGCTTTACATACAAAAACATAAGTATAGAATATTGATACAATTTCCATGATTATTGATTCTTCAATAGATGTGCAATTTTCTTTCCCTGCACTTTCAATCTATTGGTCTTCAGGACAAAATTTACACAAATGTTCACAAACTGAAGATGGTCCGAACGCAGTCTTTCACATAATTATTTTCAAAGTGATGAGGTATGTGGTTTTGAATCCAGTTTGAATTTGACACAACTGGTTTGAAATGGGAATTATTTACATGATTCAATAATAATGGCAGTTTTTCAGTAATTAAGTGCCATGTTTTTGTGATTGAGAGTTGTCTGCATTTACCTTTTGGGGGATTGGAGATAGTGGATAGGCTGAGCAAGAGACAGAATTCACCTTCTTATCTGGATTTCTGTCTCCTAAATGCCTTGGAAAACCTGGGGAGAATATCCACTTATCTTAATGTTATAAATGAGTCAAAACTTAAAATGATTATTGTTCCCCTAAAGACTACAAGAACATTCAAATTTAAAACTCATTGTATGATAAAATTGTCTTTCCAGTGATGGTTTTACAGTGAGCCAATCAAACTCTTAGCCCACTTTGTGATCACTTAAATTTGAGACAGCAATGACCAGGATTTTGAAATGGGATCAGGTCTTTGTGGACCAGCTGAGACTTTGATCTTATTGGAACTAAGTGTTCCAGTAAATAAAAAGGGTAAACTTGTTTACCAGCTAAAACTCTGAAAATCTAGAACGATTATTCAAGCAGATCCCCCTAACTATATGGTATTCAAAGTAGGTGTTGAAAGAGGTCTTTGAAGACCAAAGTAGATGAAATTAAGCTCAAAAGTTGTTCCAGTGGAAGACAGTAGTACTTGAGAAGGCTAGATGCTGGGAAAAATGGAAGCAAGCTGAACCCCAGACTCCTGTCCTGACCATGGAAATCAATTGGGCTAAGGAAACGAATGAGTTCAGGGCTTCTGCTCTTGACCTCTGTAGGAACACTGGTCTTTGAGAATTACCAGCATACAAGTGGGTAGGGTTGCCCTCTCTCATTTAAATATCTATGTAACATTTTCTTTTCTCATGCTTGAAGTTGCTATTGTTAATTACACCTTTATTAGGTGTGGTAACAGTGTTTTCTTAACTCAGATACTTTTATTTAAAAAATTAAAAATGAATTATTAGAAAATTGAAATAAAAAGACAAGCCTTGAGGTTTTCTTTTTATGTACTAGATTCAACAAATAGGAAATTATCAAACTGCTGTAAAGTTTCTAAATGCTTCCTCTTAATCTCTGATTTACCTTGTTGTGAACAGGTAACAGCCTGCAGTCTGGCACCAGTGTGCAAACTACACTTTGGTAGCAGAGCTTCTTAAACCTGAATGTATGAAAGATCACCTGAGGCTCTTGTGTAAGTGCAACTCTTGTTTAGTAGACCTGGGGTGGTGGTGCTGAGATTCTGTATTCCTAACAAGCTCTCAAGTGATACTGATGCTGCTGGTCTGCAACCACGCTTTTCTGTAGCTAGTCTTGAAGTTTATGTACTTCATAAGCTACTTTGATTTTCACAGTGATCTCTTGAGCCAAGAATTCTTATTCCATTTTACTTATGCTTAAGTCAGATTTATTGAGGTATATTTCCAGAGAGTGCACAGTGCCGTGTGCATTTTAACAAGCTCATACAGTTGCATAAACGCCACCATAATCAAAACACAGAACAGTTCCATCACTCCCTCCCTGTCCCTCAGCACCTGACAACCACTGATCTGTTTTCTGTCTCTATAGTTTTGCCTTTTCTAGAATGTCATGTAATGTATGGTTGCATTCATCAGTTCATTCCTTTTTATTGCTGAGTAGTATTCCACTGTATGAATGTAACACAGGTTGCTTATCTATTCACCCATTTAAGAAATTTTGCTTATTTCTGGGTTTTGGAAATTATGAAGAAAACTGCTATAAACATTCTTGTACAAGTTTTTGTGTGAACATAAGTTTTCTCAGTCAAAATTTTGATAGGTAATTCCTCTATTTACTCCAAAGAAAGAAAAGAAAGAAAGAAAGAAAAGAAGAAGAAGAAAAACATTTAAGTCTGAGATGACCATTTCAAGCAGCTTCTCTTCAAGTACAGAGTGTTCATAGCAGGGATTGAAAGAGGTTTTTAAAGACGGTTAGAAAATTTGATGATGTTTGAAAGCCTTTCCAAAGGAAGAGGATAATTCTTAACAAAACTGGAAATTGTAAGTAAAATAAGCAAACAAATTGGTTTCAAGATGATTTTACTCAACAAGCAGTCCTCAGTTTACAAACTCTAGATTTGCATGTGTCTTAAATATATAAAATAGTATGAGGGGAAGTAAATTCAAGGTCTGAGTTCCTGGATTTTGTTGGAACTAGTTTTTGCTTAGTGTTTCAGAAAACGTGGGCAGATCCTTATTTATAGTACAAATACAGATCTGTATCTCCTGCAGGTAACAGGAACACGGTGATAGTTTCTATAAGCAGCTGTGGATGAACAGAGAATTATTACAATTAATATCTCATCTGATTGGCACTTGAGGGTGTTAAGATCTTTCACATACAATATACAACCTTGTTGTTACGAGGCAGATATTCATACTCTCATTTTACTGAGGAGAGAGGCTACCCAGGGAGGTTATGCCACATCTCCACGTTTACACAGCTGAAGGATTAGGACCCTGTCTGGTATTTTCTTTGGAGGTCCACTGTTCCTTTGCTTATCCCATGTTATGCAGTAAGAATTTCTGTCTTTCCTGGGCAATAAACCCCAAGCCTTGTAACTGCATCCATCTTGAGAAGGAGGGGCCTGAGGTTTTCCTAATAAGTGCTGATGGCAGATGCTCCCTAAGATTTATCGGGGCAGATCACACTAACTAAGCTGTAGAGCAAAGTAATCCCTCTTTTTACCACTGCCCACCTGGATGGATGTTGATAGTTTCTGCAAAAGACCCTTGAGTGCCCCCCAACCCCGCGCCCAGTTTTGTGGAGCTATAATTATATGATACCGTATTAGTTTTAAGTGTTCCTTTTTGTTTCTTAATTGCTTTCAGATTTAACTCCTCTGCTTCTTAAAGCTTAATTCCCATCCCAAGTGAGCAGCCACCCAACTCTCTCATTTTTTGTGAATAGAAAACAGTCCCACATATATACACTACCAAACGTAAAATCGATAGCTAGTGGGAAGCAGCCACATAGCACAGGGAGATCAGCTCCGTGCTTTGTGACCACCTAGAGGGGTGGGATAGGGAGGGTGGGAAGGAGGGAGACGCAAGAGGGAAGAGATATGGGAATATATGTATATGTATAACTGATTCACTTTGTTATAAAGCGGAAACTAACACACCATTGTAAAGCAATTATACTCCAATAAAGATGTTAAAAAAAGAAAAGAAAAGAAAACAGTCCCAGAGATGTGTAGTGTCCGTGGAGTTGCACGAAAAAGTGCGAGATCTGTGCGAGACAAAGCCCGAGAAGGCCCAGTGTCCCTGCAGAGAGGACTGTTTCTGGGCAATTCGCCAGGGTACCAAGCCCGAAGGGAAGGGAGCCTGAAGTTAAGTAACCTGAGCTTCCAGCTGCTCCCTCAGTCCTCCCGTTCACCACCACCACCCCCCCTCCTCCGTCCCCCGCCCCACCTTTAATACGCTGATGCAGAATCCCACAACCTCCCGGGACTGGCTCCTCGGGCCGCACCCCTGACAGCTCCACTAGGGACGCCGCAGAGCTTACCTCCCACGTCCCACAGCCCCTCCCGGGCCGCACCCTGCAACCCTTTCACTTCCTGCCCGCTCAAGGCAGAGCCTAGCCCGTCCCCCGCGCCCATCGGGGAGGCCGGCGCCGGCCGAGCTCCTCCCCAGGCAGCAGCGGGAACGGCCACTCCCCGTGCACCGAGCCGAGCTCGGGTGGGGACTTGGCTCTTTTCAGCTTGTGCGCCGCGGGCCCCTTACAGCCAGGCCGCGGGCTCCTTACAGCCAGGCCTCGCGCCCGAGCAGCCTTCGGCCCCCCTGGCGTCCCTCGGCTGGGCCGGCCCGCGCCTCCGGGACCATGCTGCGCTGGCTGCGGGGCGTCGTGCTGCCCGCGGCGGCCTGCCAGGACGCGGAGCCGCCGACGCACTACGAGACCCTCTTCCACAAGCTGGACCGCAACGGGGACGGCGTGGTGGACATCTGCGAGCTGCAGGAGGGGCTCAAGAGCCTGGGCATCCCCCTGGGCCAGGACGCCGAGGAGGTGGGTCGCTGCGGGGCCTGAGGGCCGGAAGGGCTGCGGGGACTCTGGGCGCTGCCAGGACGGAGGGCGGCTGCCCGCGGCTCTGCAGGAAGTAGCTGGAAGTGTGGCTTCCAACCCGCGAGTGGGTTCAGAAGCTCGGGAATGGGGCCAGGTACCCCGGAACGGATGCGCATCAGGATCTGAAAGGCTACCGGTACTTTTACAGAAAAATTAGTGCAGTGGACCCTCTGACTCACTCTGAGAATTTAAAATCCTGTGCCCAGTACTTTTGGTCTGAATGCATCCCAGGGCATTTTAAGCCTATGCAAAAATTTAGCCACCTTTGGTTTTTTTTTTTTTTTAGCTCTCACACTTCAGTGAGCCCCAAGCTCTGTAAAAAGTCTCACATTTTGTATCTCTTCGAAGCTGCTTTCTTACACCAGCTAGTTTGTCTACTGTTTCAAAACTGTTTGAAAACCAGTGGTATGTTTCCCCCAACCTTCTGTTGAGGAGGAGAGGCAACATTCCATTGTTTAAGACATTCTTAATGCCCTAAGTACATAAGTTGACCTGAAGGGTTGGCCCATCCTATGAGCAATTTCAGCTTCTCTGAGTCATTTTAATTGTGTCCCTGAAGTGCGCCCCTATCAGCAGAGATATTTGGAACCTCTCCAACCCCACTGAAACGTAGGAGGACACTTTGGCATTCCCTATCCCAAGAGGTAAAGTGCTATTAAGCTATAAGAGCCAAAAACTGTTTTATAGTAGTTATATTTTAAGCTACTCATTCAATGTCTTTAGTAGTTACAGGCCTCTTCAGGTTACTATTTCTTCTTGAGTCAGATTTAGTAAGTTACAACTTTTAGGAAACTGCACGTTCTGTCCAAGGCTCATAATATTTATATTCACTTGTGATTTTTAAAAAGTTCTGACTGTATCTGTAGTTATGTTCTCTGTTTTATTCCTGATATCTCCCCCCCCACCCCTGCTTCCTCTTCAATCTTGCCAAATCTTTTTTTCTTGCCAACCTTTTCTTTTTCCCCTTCAACCTTTGTCTTTTTTATTCATACACTGAAAGAACCAACTTTTGGTACGTTTTGAAGATTGTCTCCATTTTTTAAATTTTCTTCCATTAACTTTTGTTTATTTCCTTCTACTTTCTTTGGGTTTACTCATTTGTCCCTTTTCTAATTTCTTGAGTTATTAATAAATGCTTGATTTATTAAGTTTGAGCTACAATATCACTTTAATCACTTCTTTAGTTGCATCCCGTAAGTTTGTACTTTTGTTGTAATTTAGTTCTAAGTATTTTCTAATTTCCAATATGATTTCATCTTTGACCCATGAATTATTTGTGTGCTTTAAATTTCCAACTATATGCTTTTTTGGTTGGTTCTTTGAAAATATGAATAAAATAGACAAATCTCTGGCAAGACTGATTAATAAAAAGAGAGAGGAACTCAGGAATAAAAAATGTCTTTAATTTTCCAAAATTTATATAAGAACAAATTATAAAATAAGTTGTATAAAACTGTGTGTATGCAAACATATAGAACAGGATGGCGTATATTTGTCACACACACAATATATGTATTCTATACATATACATAAAATATATTTTATACCTACATACATATACATATACATAGTATCACTCTGTGCTCATGCCAGATATTATTAACTATTCCCAGCACTCTTTTCTGATGGGTATATTCTTCAATTAAAGGTTAATAATGATTACTTCTGGATGGTAGGAGTTAAATTACCTTGTTACTTTTTTCTTCACAATTTTTGTATTATTTCAGTTTTTTAAAATGATCATACATTATTATTTTTATGATTAGGAAAAAATAGAGTTGTTTTTTTTTTAAATAAATATCACCTCCTCTGTGATGAGCTTTTCTGGACCACCCTCTATAGAAGAGTTGGTCTCACCCTACTATTTGTAGATCTTGGTCTCCTATATCGCTACTGCTATAATTTTCAAAAGGTACTATTTTTATTTATTGACTGTGCCCTCCACTAAGACCAAACATCTTGAAGATGAGGGTCATGTCTCAGTGATCTAAGCACAGTGGTACAAAAAGATTTAAGGCTGTGATTTGAAATACCCTAAACAAGACAGTGGCTCCTTTGAAATAATTAAAAGAAAAAAAAATTTAACTGTAAAGCAGTTGTTAGTGCTTTTATTTCCAGCATATGTAGGACAAGAAAACCAAAAATTCTCCTGTTGCTAGATACCTAGAAATGTTGGATAAAATAAGATAAATATATAAAAGACTATTTTTTTAGAGCAGTTTTTTGTTTACAACAGAATTGAGAGGAAGGTACAGAGATTTCCCATACACCCTCTGCCTCTAAACATCACATACATAGCTGCCCCCATTGTCAACATCACTCATCAGAATGGTACATTTTTTACCAAAGGTGAACCTACATTGACACCTCATTATCACTTTAAGTCCAAAGTTTACCTTAGGTTTCACTCTTGGTGTTGTATGTTCTATGGGTTTGGACTAATGTATAATGACATGTATCCATTATTATAATATCATATAGAGTATTATTACTGCCCTAAAAGTCCTCTGTGCTCTGCCTATTCATTCCCACATCCCCAACCACTGATCTTTTTATTGATTCTGTAGTTTTTCCAGATAAACATCTTTTTACATACATAGATGAGCTTGTAAGAAAATAAGAAATATCTAGTCAAACCACCTGGGTTTAAATCTTGGTTCTGCTACTTACTAGTTAACTTTGGGCCATTAAAAATATCTTTTTAGCTTCAGTTTCCTCATCTGTGACAGAGGTAACATGAGTACTTATCTCATAGGGTTATTGTGAAGAATAGATGAATTAAAATACGTAAAGTATTTAGAATAATTCATGGTATCTAATAAGCAATCAATTAGCCTTTAAATTATCTAAAACTGTTACTACCATCACTTTTGAAAGAGGGGTGTCAAAATTTCCTCTATGATTGTATATTTGCTAACTTTCCTTTATAATTCTGTTGATTTTCCCTTTTATTTTAAAAACAGACTATATAATGGACTATACTGCTGGTATATTCAAATTTAGCATTGTTTTAGCTTCCTGGTGAATTGCTCCTTTCATCATTATGCTTTCTTGCCTACCCTTATAGCATGGTTCCCCCCATATTTTACAAATGCCTGAGTGTTTTTGTAACACAAATGCACTAGCCAGGTGTTCCCCTTAAACAGGTTGTTTTCCCAGGTCACCGCTGGGAAATCTTCAGCTTTGGGCTCCCGCCTTGTACAAGGCATCATCCTTGCCCCATGTTCCACTCAGGGCTCTTTGCCTGCTGGGCAGTGAATGAGCCAGTTCCCAAACCCCATGTTCTTACCTCTTGTCTTGGGCTACTGCTGGTGCTAACTGCGTCATTTCTGGTTCTCCTAGGAGCAGAAACCAAGATGGGATTGGGTGTGCAAAAGAAGGGTAAGGGAGAGGAAACAGGAGTGTTGGCCTGTGGAGTGATCTGACCTGGCCTCCACAGGCCACTCCATGGCACCCACAGATGTGCTTCTCAGCATAGGTTTGGGAGTGCTCCCTTATTGTTCGCAGCCTCTTTTCCCCAGGGAGGACAGTGGGACAAACTACAGTCCCCGTTGCTTCACTTGGTCACAACTGGTACTCATGATTTCCCTTCTTGACTGTCTATTTTAAATTCCACTCACGTTCATCTAGAATCTCTGCAGGTCTTTGTGACTTACCTGGTGGTGTGACCCAAACTTTCCTTTCTGCAGTGTCTGAGCTTCTCAGGCCAATGTTGCTGCATGTGCCCATTCACAGTTATAACTGGGCATCCCTGGAGTCCACATGGGTCATCTGAGTTCCGTAAGTATTCCTCTCTGTCTCAGTTGTGTAGAAGCAGCCCTGCTTCCTGCTGATCAGGGCCAATTTACACCTACTAAGAGGGTGACTTCTTTTCTTGCCTGTTGGTCCCTGGACACAAGGAGTTACAAATGTCCAGGTGGAAGCTATAGCTTGTAGTTCAATGGGACCCTCATTGTGTTCCCTGACAAGAGTGTATCTATCCTGCTTGGGGACCAGAAGCTAACACTGCAGAGCCCAGAGTTGTGGGGATGGGAAGCAAAAAGTTCCCATTGGGTCATTGGGAGTGATAGTAAGTGGGACCACTCCTGCTTCCACCTCTTAGTTCCTGGACTCATGTGTTCTTCCTTTTGGGGGCACAAAGCCACATGGTAGGTCTCTGATTTAGTGTACATAACGGTATCCCGAAGGGTGGCAACCCATTTTTGCCAAATATTGTCTCCTAGGTGGTGCTTCGGCTGTGCTTTCAGTAGGACATTGCAGCATTCTGTGAGGTTGGCTGCTTCCTGATGGTGTGGGGTGTGAAATGGCCAGTGGATCCAGTGGTCTCGGGCCCATGTGCACACCTCTTACACTATGAAGGGATCCCCTGGTCAGATGCTGTGTTCTGTAGGGATTTCACGCCTGTGGATCAGGCATTCCACAAGCCCCCAGATAGTGGTGCTGTCTGAACCTTTGTGGGCAGGAAAGGGAAACCCCTACCTTCCTTTGAGGAAGACCCAGTTCCCCTTACACCACAGGAGGCACCCAATATAACTGACTTTCCACCGAGTGACCAGTTGGCCTTCTTGAGGAATAGTGTCATGTCAGGGCCAGGCAAGGGCCAGATCATGAAAGGCATTGAGGACCTGCCTTTTGGTTTGGACTTTTGTCAATTGAGTGATGGGAGCACTTGGGAGATTTTAAGCAAGAGGGGACACAGGCAGACTTATGACTTAGGAAGATCACTCTGGTGGCTGTGCAAAAACAGGAGGAAGAGAGGGTG